AGCTTTAATGTTACCAGTGGAACACCAGCTAAACCAATACCATTTAAAAGTGAAAAATAGTTTATCTTTATCTCAAGATTTTTGTAAAATAATGTATACGATCCTATAGCAAAACAAGTATCAGAATAAAATTCACAACATGTCGAATTATTCTGCTCGTTTGTTTTTATTAAATATATATATTCTTATTTCGAATGCTATTGTTCAATATAGTTTGATTATCGACATGTTTAATGAATTAGTTGTTTGTTTTTTAACATTTAATTCTTTGTTATTTATCTCAACGGTCAAAAAAATTAAGGAAAACAAGATGTTTGATTAAAATTTGTTGATAAAAAATCGATTTTTCTTGTACATAACCTTCTGAAGTCTATTCATTTTATTTTATTTTGTATTTATTTAAGGATATCGTTTCGGAAAACATTTTACCCATGAAATATCATTGTCTATATCTATGAATAAAAATTGCTATATTCGTCTATAGAGATATAGCTATTGACCTTTCTGTTTCTTTTTACATACTTGACGTAGTTTCTTAATCTTAAAGTCCCATAGGCTTATCGCCCGTTGGGGCCAACCACAGATCGGATGATATCTTTCCACTGGCTCCTGCTTTGCGCGAGGTGAACCAGGTCTTGGCATCCGTAACCGCACCATTCCGTAATATCGTCGAGCCATTCTCTGCATGGTCGACCTCTTCTAGGTTTTCCGTTAATTCTTGAAAATACCACATGTTTTAGGAGTCTTGTATTATCCATCCTGCAAACATGTCCGAATAGTTTTAATTTTCTTCTTTTGATTTTATCTATTATTGTTTCATGGGCACCAATTTGTTTTCTGATATCGATATTGCGCACCATGTCTTTCCAACTGATCTGAAGTAATCTTCGGTAGCACCGCATTTCAAACGCCAGTAGTTTCTTTTTGTCACCTTCTTTTAACGTCCATGTTTCACAGGCATATAGTAGTACACTGAAAACACAGGTAGTTAAAAGTTTTAGTTTGTTTTCGATCTTTATCTTTTTTGTGTTCCATATATGTTTCAAACTGGCCATTGCACCAATTGCTTTGTTGATTCTTCTCTTGATTTCTTTTGAGCAGTTATTGTCCCACGTTAGCATGCTACCGAGGTACTCAAACTCCTCAACATTTTCGATGATTGCACCTTGTATTTCCATTTCCCTGTCGATAGATCTACCACCAAACACCATTGTTTTTGTTTTGCTTGTATTCACCGAGAGTCCTGCTTCTGCTGCCGTTGTTGTAAGTTGTTCAATTTGTTCTTGAAGTGAGATATGATTCTCACTCAAAAGATCGATATCATCAGCAAATCGTAGGTTATTGACCACTGTTCCACTAACATTTACCCCATTGTTTTTTGACGTTGTTTTATCCATTATTCTTTCCAAATATGCAATAAACAAAAGTGGTGACAGAGGGTCACCCTGTCTAGTGCCGACGTTCGTTTCAAACCATTCACCAATATCCGTGCCTATTCGAACTGCTGACCGAGATTTACCGTAGATTTTTTCCAGTAATATGACCACCTTGTTGTCCACCCCATACGACCTAAGAACAGCCCATATGATATTGTGTTTGATTGTATCAAAAGCTTTGGTGAAGTCGATGAAGCAATTGTAGATTTTTTTGCCGTTGCGTTTTGCTTTTTCTGCCAGAAGTCTGAGTATTAGGATTTGGTGTGTTGTATTTCTGTCCTTCCGGAACCCCGCTTGTTCCTCGGACATATATGGATCCAAATGTTGTTTCAACCTGTTGAGTAATACCATTAGTAACACCTTTCCCGTATGATTGATTAAAGATATTGTTCTGTAATTCAAGCACTCACTGGCATCGCCTTTTTTGGGAATTGGCACCAAGATTGATCGTCCCCATTCATCTGGAATTGTTTCCTCTTCCCACGCTCTATTGCACAACTCATAAATTTTGTGTACCAATTTTTCACCACCACTTTGAATCATTTCCGCTGTAATTTCGTCGGTTCCTGGACTTTTGTTTTTCTTGAGTTTTTGTATTGCATCTTGTACTTCATTATATAGTATGCCAAATGATGAATTGTCGTTTGAAGGACTTATGTTTACCAGTTCTTCCACTACCTTTTCCCCACCACCATTATCTTCGTACAGTCCACTGCAGTATTTTGTCCACCTTTCCATGATGCCTTGTTTCGATTGTACTATTGTGCCATCTTGATCTCGTATAGCTGTTAATTTTGGTTGAAATTTCTTTTTTAATAGTTTCACCAAGTTGTATGCTTGCTTGCTGTTACCAACTTTCAATCCCATTTGAATTTCTTCACATTGAGTTTGTATCCACTTGTCTTTGTCTTTCCTTGCTGCTTTTTTTACCTCGTTGCAAAGATGTTTGTACTTGTTGTTGAGTTGTGTTGAGATGTGTTTCACTTGTTTTGCTTTTCGTTTTTCATCTGCTAACTCCAATGTTTGAGTTGAGATCCATGGTTTCTTTGATGTTGCTTTTTGAGTGGGTATGCTCGCTTGTAATGCTTCTTTAATTGCTTTTTCAATTTGTAGTGCATGGTCATCTATGTTTTTCGTTGTTTGAATGTTGTTTAAGTTGTTTTCCAAGTGTTTTTGATATGATGTTTTGGTTGTTTGATCATTGAGCTGTTGTATGTTGAGTCGTTGATTATATTTTGGTTTATTGTGTAGGTTTTTCAGTCTTAGTTTGATATTGCACAAAACTAAGGAATGGTCAGAGCTGATATCAGCTCCTTGGAATGTTCTACAGTTGACGACAGATGTTTTCCAACGTTTTTGTATCATGATGAGGTCGATCATGTTTTTGTGTATACCATCTGGTGATTCCCATGTCCATTTGCGAATTGGTTTTTGTTAAAATCTTGTGTTACAAATAAATAGATTATGTAGTGTTGCGAATTCCAATAGATGTTCGCCACGTTCGTTTCTTGTTCCATATCCATATCTGCCCATGACGGCTTCCCAGCCAGTATTGTCATTACCCACCTTGGCGTTCCAGTCACCAGTTAGTATAAGTATATCTTTTTTTGGAGTTTTTCCTATAGCGTCTTCCAAATTGCTATAGAATGCTTCGATGTCATTTTCTGTTGCGTCAGATGTTGGGGCATATACATTGATTATTGTTATATTGAATGGTGTTGCTTTAAACCTTGCAGTGATCAATCTTGGATTGATTGGATTGTAGCTCATAAGAGCCTTTCGAGCTCTTGTGCTGAGTAACATTCCAACACCTTTATTGTGTGTATTGTCATTCCCGCACCAAATGAAGTCACCGTTTGTTGTTTCACCTTTTCCTGTCCACCGTACTTCGGAAATGCCGATGACGTCGTAACTGTAACGTTTCATTTCATTTCGTAGTAGTTCCAGTTTGCCAGTCGCCCATAACGTTCGAACATTCCATGTGCCCACAGTGAAAGTATCTTTCATCAATTTGAGTTTGTCTGAGCCATACTTGCTCGCTGTTGTTTGCGTTGACGTTGATGGTGTCGTTGTTGTTGTTGTTGTATATCTTTTTGTTACGGTTTTCATATGAGTGGTTGTTCCAGTAACCAATTTTTCGATTCTGTCCTGGTTCCACGACAGAGGACGCGGACCTTGTTCACCCGGGCGCCGTCCGAGCCGGTATAGTTTTTGATATTTAACGTTCATGGTTGGTTTCTTTCGTCTTTTTCTTTTTACAAACGGCGGTATCTGCACCCCTTCCGTCTAACGCTCCTCCTTTTTCCGGACTTGCGACCGGCACAGAGATCACTGGCTTGTGATCCCCATGGTGGAGTTTGACGTAGTTTAATCGCTTTGTTATTAATGTTGTCCTTCTACATTACGAAATGATATAACATCAACGTGACGATATCCAGTCATTTCTAGGTACTTTCATTTGTAGACAATCGATCGAATAAATAAAATGTACTGGTTGCGATGTCTAGTTCGATATAGAACCGTGTAAAGAGAAAAAAATAGTCTCTATATAAGTCGCCGTACAGTCGAGCAATGTTTTTTAATTGTAAATTCTCTAGTATAGGTTCCTCGTTTTTTTTCTCTTAAGATGAAAAAGCAATCTACTATTGGAAAAATGATCGATGAATTTGGTGGATACAAACGATTTAATGAAGATACAAGGAATTACGTTAGTAAATTTTATTAAATCACTTTAAAATGATTAAGAAGAAATAATTTTTATTGAAATATTTTAACTAAAGAATATTAATTTTAATTTTCCAATTCAACAACTAACACCACCTCAACCAATACCAGGAGCAGCACAACATCAACCACCAGGACAAATACCACCTCAACCATCAGGACAAGTACCACCTCAACAATCAGCAACAGCACCAGGACAACAGCAAGAAACAAGTAAGATAATTAGCAGTATTTCATAGAATTATCGTGTGAAATTTCGTTGTTTATATAAAAATGCTTTAGTTTTAGATATTTTTATTGATTTATATACAAACGCAAAATTCGCGTGGTGTCTTGTGATAATAATGATGATTGCATACATGTTTAATATTCAACTGCAGTTTTTGTCATTGATCATAATATTATATGCATTATGTAGAATAATCGCCAAAAGATGGTGCACAATCAGTGAAATGTTTAACACAATCAACCAGTATCATGTTCAAATGAATTTGTTCTTGGTTGTCATCGTTATGCAGTTCATCATCATCATTATGCTGGTGATTTTAATTTTGAAACAATAATAAACTTTTCTGATGGTCGAGATAAAAAAAAATACTTTTTTTTTTAAATTTTCTACAGGCATTGATGTGCATCAGATGATATTAGATTGAAAAAAAAATTCTAAATGAGTAAATAGATATTCTGTTAAAGTGTAGTTTTATTAAAATAAAAAAAAAAGTGATTTTTCTGTCGAATATCTACATGTTTCTCAATTGAAGTATACTGATCTTGTTGATGTGAAAAAATGATCGAATGTTATTTTGCTATTTTTCTTGTGCACCATAAAAATTTGAGGAATAAATAAATGTATCACTAAATCATTATATCATTATCTATTTTTCAGACTTCGCAAACCAATCATCTACATTTGAATGTATTATAGTCTCGTGTATAATACTTGAAAAATATTGATATTCTTCTTGAAAATTTACTACAGGATTTTATATTCAGCTATAGCGTATCAATCACCAGTGGTAGACATAACATACAGTGAGCATACTAGACAAAAATATGACCCTTAAAGAACAAACTAACACTTCGTGCTAACGTGAAAATATATGCTAAAATTATTCAGTTACCATGAGGAACCTCTGTAAAATCTGAAACTACGTCATTTATACTATAAGATATTTGTACAATAATACAGTCACTCGGTGTTTCACATAAAAAACTTAATTAAGTATAATCTTTAAATTTTAACAGTGAATCAAACTTCAAAGCATTTTCTGTGTACCATCAGTTGTTGCTTATCGAAAACCAAAGGTTCGAAAAACTACATTATTATAAGCTAAATTCAACGAGGCACATCTTATTATGAAATGTTTTGAGAACTATAAATTATAAGAATTAAAAATTTATCATTATTATTTATAATTAGACAGCTATATGAAATGTGTTTTATCTTACGATTACCTATTTTAACCATGGTAAAAGACAAAGCATTCAAAATTAATCGAATAAATTCTGTTTTCTAACAATCTTAGTCGTATTTTAATTGATCAAAGCAAGAAAATTCGATTCTCTTTTCAATGTAGAGATAGACTAATATCGATTTATTTACTTAACTCTACTTCACATAAGTGCATATACATTCTACTTTTCAGTTCTCAGAAAAGTAAATAATTCAATAACTGTATCTGACTAGTGTGGAAAATTTAAACTATCGTATATAATTTTTCAAAGATTTTTGGCATTGTCCTGGTACCAACGGATTCCTGGCTGCGCCACTAACTGTAAAAATCTAACGAACATGAACATGAAGAATTACAGACTCTCTTCTATTAGAATATTTTTTTTCTTGTTGACTTTAGTGCGGAAATTTTTCCAGTACTATTGTTCTCATCTGAAAGATCTGGTAACATTAGTTTCTTTGAGACTATTTCATTCTCAACAAAAATCTTCTCATGCAACAAAACACGACTAAAAAGAGAAATTTAAGAAAACAACAGATGCATGAGATTAGTGCAAAAGTCTTCTTATTAGTAAACAAACCCAAGGAAACTGTTGTGGCGTGGATGTGTGAGTGGGTAGGCGTAGGTGTCGGTGTGGATGTGCGTTGGAATCTTCTATTCTCTCACACCCCACACTCACCCACATCCTTTCGTTTACGATTCGTATTAACTGAAACTGCATTTTTCTTTCTTAACTATGTCATTAATATTCGTTCTTCTTTACATGTAAGTACAGTAGATCGACTAGTTTTATATTCCAAAATATTTTTTGAAATTTTGAATTATTCAAAAGACTCATCTATTACAATCATATAAACAATATCAAAGATAAACGAATATTTTTCCTGTAATTGGATTAAACTTTTTATTATAACGGATACTGCAGAATAAATGGCCTCCTCAGTATTTTCTTGAACTCTTTTCTTTTCTTTCATCCAAAATACATGATTATATCATAGAAAGATGCACGGTAAAATTCTCTTCGAGATCGTCTATTTGATCTTGGTTAAATACCGTTCATCAAAATGGTATCACTTGAAAAAATTATGAATGCTTCCTAAAAATAGTTTTTCCTAATATCGCTTTATTTGCAATGTCTTAGCAATTTTGCATTGATAGTTTATTGTAGTTGAGAAGCAATCTAGGTTTACCGATCCTCCAGAGATGCCTACGCTTTCATATTTGGGTTGAACTCATAAATAACAGAATTAATATGTTATTTCAACAAAGATCATTAAGACATTGCAAATAAAGCGATATTAGGAAAAAGCTATTTTTAGAAAGCATTCATAATCTTTTCAAATGAAACGATTTCGATGAGCAATATTTAACCGAGATGAAATAGACAACGTTGAAGAGAATTTAGCGATGCATCTTTCTATGATATAATCGCGTATTTTTGATGAAAGAAAAAAAAAGAGTTAGAGAAAATACTTAAAAGACCATTTATTCTGTCTCATCCGTTCCATATTTATTTATTTTGATAAACTAAACCTAAAACTTACTGGTGACATCATAAATAGTAATAATTTTTTTATAATTTACATTTTTAAGCATTTGTGTATAAATTTTTGGTCTTATATCCATAGGACAATTAACCATTGTTTTTATTCAATTATGCATAAAATCTTCATCAAGACAATTAAGATTATTAAATATCGATTGATATTGTTATTGATAATATTTAGAAAACTAATAGTAAATATTTTGGTAATGATTTTTTATTTAATACTTGTTTATCAAGTATTAACATCATTTCAATACGATGGCAAATAATTCATTCAGTGAAACGTAATAATGTAAGAAATTGTTCAATTAATAAACCTATAAAGAATTTTTAATGATGATAATAATAATTTATTTCATTTTAATAAATTATGCCAATTAATCTTCAGTGTATAAGATCAAATAAATTATGTACATGCATCACTTTGTGTAAAAAAAAATAATAAAATAATTGATGATATGTTATTAATAATGATAAGAATTTAAAATATTCACTTAAAATAGTTTCAATATGAAAATCTACCAAGACTATTTACAATTTTATCGTGAATTAATCATTGACGAAAATCATTTAGAATTGTTCAAAATTGTTTAACTAAAATAAAATTATAGATCATATAAATTTATAGTAATTTTAAAGTCAAATGAATGATTAATATGACATTATCATAAACAATAAATCCAATTACTGGTTGAAGAATATTTAAGAGAATATGTGAATGTTTGAATAAAGATAGGTCTTTGTGAGAATAGATTATAATGAAAATTTATGATCTTTTCACTTTAGACCAAGTGAAAAACCATCTGATTTTTATGATTGATAATCAGTTTTTCTCCTAAACTTTCGAATCGAATTTGTTAAATCAATTATTTCGGTCGAAAGCTTTTGCATGCTTATTCGTAGTTCTACATATTTCTATTGCTTGACTATCATATTCATATCTACAAATATAGTATTATCTTGACTGATTACCACTTTTTCGTAGTATGCATAATTAAATAAGGAAACTAATAGTATTATTGGTTTGACCATTTAATTTTCGATTATTGGTTAAAATTCATAATATGAAAACAGAAATGAAAATAAGAGTTTATTAAATTACTTACATACTAAAAGTTTCATCTCGTGTATTAACTAATGATAAAGCATCATTCTATCGTGTTAATATAGCGTCTTCAGTTGAATTTTTTTCCTAAAAAAAAACAATTTTAAAACTATAGGAAAATTATTTTCATAAAAAAACAAACATTTTTATTTGCTAATACTCAAAAACCGATAACAAATGGATCAATTGGTCATAATTCAATTGATGATACAACGCCAGATAATGCTAATTGTGTAGAATAAATATCCAAAAGTGATATTTGAAAGGAAAAATAATCATAGATGAAGCACATGTGATGGTAAATGACAATTTGTACATCGACAATTAGATGTGAAAGAAGTTTCGATTTATCATCTTCATTTTGAACACTATCAACAAGAACTATTAACAATTGTAAAGCTTGTAACAACTATTATTGTTTTTTTTCAGTGTATGCAGAGGACATGAAAGAGATACTTTTATTTATAGTATTAGATTTAAAAATAATTAAAATGTCTAGTTTTTCTTCAAAATTTTAATTGCGATATCTTTTATCAAATACACAATGGATAACCTTACCAACTGATTAATACAATATTTTCTTTACAGAAATATAAATTTCAATGGAAAACTGGTACTATCCAATACACTGAATTTCAGATCTCGAGTTTCTACGATATCTGAGATCTCTAGAAAAATATATCTTGTTCATTGTTCTCTAATAAAACTTTTTAGGAATTTTAACTTTTCACATAGTGCCTATATCTTACAATATCACATTACTTTATTATATTGAACAATAACCATTCGTTGTGCTTCTAATTGTTTATTATCTGTTTTAAGTCGAACAAGAAATAAATCATATACAATTGGTTCTAATCCTATTCAAAAATAAACAACAGATTATAAAATGAAAAAAAAAACAAAACAATTACAAGCACAATGAACTTCATAAGCATCTATTTTTAAGCCTAAATTTAGTTAATAAAAGGTACGTTTTGCCCTTAGATAAGTTTCAGACTCAATACAATATCCTAAAGATTTTAGCTCGATCGATGAAGAATAAAAAAAGATTATGATTTAAATAATTGAAACTTTCTTTAAAATACTCATTATTAAAAAGATTACATTTGGCATAGATTGAATGTTGATTTC